AATTCTGATTAGTATAGAAACACTCATCAGAATCAGTGCTGTTGTTCATAAAATAAAACATTCTAGCCGTATTTATAAGTTCGCAACATTTTCATTCTGAAATGTCTTTAAAGATTCGATTAGAAATTATTAATTTAAATTTTTGCAGCAATGAACCCATTATACAGTAGGGTTTTAGTACAAAGATTACTTTCATAAAATTGTAAGTTCTTATTTTGGGAGTACAGCCACTTCTTTTACTTCATACATTTTAATGTCTTGTAATAAAAAATGTAAATCACATCCCATCATTCTCACCCTCCTCAAATGCTATACTACTCATTATCTATAACATTATGTTTTAAGTCAGTTGCTGTCTTACACAATTCTCATTAATTTCTATGGCTTTAACTACTATACTCAGTTTCTCAACCAATATTTAGGTGTTCACAAAGTGTCCAGACATTGGCCTAGCTGCGGTTATTGATCCTAAGTGAGGATCATCCCCAAGTCATGACATTTCTTTTGAATTCTCGTACCTTGTAGAGTCCATAATTATTTGTTGCGGGCTCATCCACTGAATACTTATAATATAACATAGGCTAAGCATATTCTATGGCACATTATAATTGCTTTGTGAATATTTAATAAGTGATGAATGGTCTTTCCTGCCTACCAGCTTCCTGTGGCTTCCCATTAGTAGTACTAATGGTCTCCTACAACTACATCTGTTTTTATATTAATAACACAAAAACAACAATTGCAATATAGGAACAGTATCTGAGTCTAATTAAGTTTACAGTCGTTTCTAAACATTATACATTTGACCTTCACAACACCATGGTGAGATTGGGACTCTGGTTTTATCTCGCAGATGAGGAAACAGAAGTAAATGATGTTAAGGATGTCTTTTTATAGATATAAACATTTAGGCACAGATTTTTAAAATCCAAATCCAGATTCAGAATTGTTCATTCTTTCTTTCCATCATGTTCTCCTTTAAAAAAACCCATTAATTTTAAATTTATAAGTGAATTTTGTCTGTTGAATTTTATCAAATGATGAAACCATTACTAGGTATTTGGAAAGAAAACACAAAGCTGAGTGTATCGCTTACTTAAATAAGAGGGAACTATGCTGGTTAACCACAGTCTCTCAAAACAGAGTATTCTTAGGTTTTGGGGAAAACTGGGAGATCAGGAGATCTGTGAGCATTCGACGTGAATAGGTTGATGTGACCTTTAGAAGCATGGTTGGTTAATCAGGTGCTACCATTGTTCATTGGTTTGCATTTAGAATTTTGTTCATTGGGGTGAGTTCATTTCTGATTAGCCAACTTTCAGAAGGGAAGGGTTGACAATGGCTGGCTTGAGGAATCATGATCAAGACCATATAGGCAGGTAACTGTTAATTGATTAAATGAGTCTGAAACTTGTGTTGGTGGCTACTTGTTACTGTGATTACAAAACAAGCATTTCCCTCCATCTGTCCTCCTCCATTTTACTCAAAGTTTATTCATCTTTGCACCCTCAGGGCTTAGACAGAATGTTACATATAGTTTTTTTCAAAGACTGTGAAGTAAATGATTGGAAATAGAATGAAGTCATTTTGGACCTATCTTAGAATTTCTATCATCCATCTTTTTGTTTTCGTTACAAAGCCTAGTTTATTTCTCTAACACCTCCTGTCTGGATCGGGTCCTAGCTTCCTACTTCCCTCCAGTTGTTTTTCTCTTTCATCGCATTCTGTACTTAACAGTTTTACTTTACAAAAAATTCAGTGCTGTCACACTCTTCCTCAAAAGTAGTCACTGTCCAAACTACTGAACCAAGGTCAAAATTTCTAGTTTGCTCCTGATGATCTCTCAGTGTTTCACAGAGAGTGTACCCATTGTATCTTGTTAGTCACTACTCTCCTGTCTGTGGCTACGACACATAAAGGCACTATTCCTGGGATGTTTCTAATATCTTAGTGCTGCACTTTTGTTCATGCTTTTCTACTGCCTAGAATACCTTTCCTCATTCCCCCATTTCTAGCCAAGAAATCCTATACCTACTTATTAGGTTTCCTATTTATAAAGACTTTTCTGGCCCCCTGGTAATATATAATTTTTTCCTTTCTCTGAATCTACTTAAGCACCGATTGTGCCAGTTAGAGGAACACATTTTAAATTCTGTCCAGCAATGCAATTATTTTGTACTTTTCCTATTATCTATTTATTTTATTATTCCAAATTGTGAAGAATCCCTGAATTCTCTATCTTGTTAATCTCCTGGATACTCTGCTAAAATATTGTAAATAAAATAGCTCTTTAGCACATATATGTTGAAGTGAATTAACATATTTTAGAATATCTAAGTTCCTTTCTTTAAGAAAAGAAATATTGGATTCCACCTGCTGGTACAGCTGAATCCACACAACCTCAGAGATGGGAAGCAAATAGATTGGGGTAAAAATGTCAATAATTTCGTCAAATAGTGTATATTTTTGTGATGATTGATAATTATGAATATTTGCTGCCATCCAAAAGATGTTTTATGTAGATAAAATGTACTCTAATTTTTGACGTTTGCTTGGGGTAATAGAAATAATTCTTAATTTATTTTTACCTTTATTTTTATCATGACATATATTTGAGGCTAAACATATCCATGCACGTGTTTATGTATAATATAGCAGTAAATGGTCATGGATCAACCTTTTTTGAATTCAGTGCCTTTCTCACAGCATAGTTTTACTTAATACTAAAAATAAACAGAATTCTAAATTATGCTCATTACATGTACAACTGACTACTTCCTAGTGAGAAAGAAGAAAACATTTTAGAGGTTCAAAATGTGGTGAAGAAGTGTAGTATCCACATACAAAGAACACTTGAAAAACAGTTATCAAATGAAAGGGATATTTTAGTCTTCACAATTTCAAAGCTAACTTAGTAAGATTTTTTTTTTTAGAAAGGCGGTACTCATGTACAAAGTATTCTTTAGTTCTTCCTAAGAAAATACTTGCGAAAACTTAACCTTCACCGTTTGTTGGGTAATAATTATAATAAAGGAGCAGAGAATACATATTGTATCACTTTGTACCTCTCAGCCTTATGCACTTAAGTGTCCAGTTAAGTATCTTTTGGGGGAAAAAAGCCAAACAATGAAGTGGCAGATGATAGAGCAGTCTGCTTCCTGTGTAATATTTTTCAACCCTGTTACTCAGAGTGTGGTCTTCAAGTCAGCAGTGTCAGCATCACCAGCCAGCTTGTCAGAAATGCAGAACTTCAGGTTCTACGCCTGACCTACTGAATTTGAGTCTGAGTTGAAAAAGGTCCCCAGGTGATTCATATGCACATTAAAAATTGAGAAGTACTCTATTATACTATGGATAGAAGCAGACCAAGGAATATTAAGTTTTTCCTCCTCTGTAGCTCTTTTTAAAAATATTAAAAAAAAAATACAGGGCGCCTGGTGGCTCAGTAGTTTAAGCGTCTGTCTGCCTTTGGCTCAGGTCATGATCCCAGGGTCTTGGAATCAAGCCCCTTGTCAGGCTCCCTGCTCCATGAAGAGTCTGCTTCTCCCTCTCCCTCTGTTCCTCACCCCCCCACCCCTGCTCATTCTCTCTCTCTCTCTAATAAATAAATAAAATATTTCAAATATATATTAAAAAATAGTTGTTCTAGGGGCATCTGGATGGCTCAGTTGGCTAAGCATATGACTCTTGGTTTCTGCTTAAGTCATGATCTTATGGGTCAAGAGATGGAGCCCTGCTCTGTGCTCAGAGGGAGGTCTGATTGAGATTCTCTCCTACCCCTCCCCCCACTCACGCACGCTCGCTCTCTCTCAAATAAATAAATCTTTTTAAAAAATAGTTGTTCTAATTAATTACATTCCTGCTATTTGTGAAGGCATTGACTAAGTTACCTATTCAACCTCCTTTTATGTTAGTGGGCTTGAGATTTGACTCTAGGCTTTTTTACTCATGATCAGAACACCTGACCAGAATACACATATTTAACATAAAAAAGATCTTTTAATGCTAGCTAAGCTAAGATAAATTTATAGCAAGAAAAATGCCTGGCACATTGCTGCATAGTTGTCTTGGCCTCCTGCCAGGATTTATGTTTTAACACTTCTGGGATTAATGATACACTTCACATAAAGGGTTATTTTTATATCTTGGTTCCCTGGAATGAACACAGTGGGTAAATTGTAATGCCAAGTAGCAAAATAACCTTTTGAAGGAGCTGCCACTTACTATGTGTGTTGTTACGAATTATTATTGACTTTAAATGCTGGGTTTCTTTCATTCCCTGGATGTGGCAAAGGACATAATGTCAGATCAACTTTATGTGAAGGACTTTTAAATTTATCTCTAGAGTCTGAGAAGGAAGGTAACATCTGACTTTAACAGATGTACCAAAAATGTAAACAAATGTTTTTTAATATACTTAAGGAGTATTACAAATCATATACATATGGTATATTGTTGTTTTATTGTTATTGTGGAAATACATGGTTCATTTCAACACAGAGACATATTTTGCTCTTTACATACTTAATCACCAGCAAAAATTTGATTAGATGATGAAAGCTTCCCTTACTGGAAGCCAAGGCATTAAGCTCTTTTGTGTAATTGTTTAATTACCAATGCACTATTTTAATTTACACGTTAATATAGCTTTCCATGGAAAGGAAGATATAATCTTTTATTTGTGTTTCTTATCTAATGAAAACCACTCTCTTAGATGGGCCAGTTTGGCAATTTGACTTAGGGAAAAGTATTATGGAATGAAGTTTTTATGTGAACAAGGAAAAAAGAAATTAACTTTAGTGCTCCTCTCATTGGTCTGCCAAATTGGAAAGCCATTTTTGGCCCGATTATCATGTTCTAATTAGTCTCTGGAGGGCATTCATGGGCAATCGAGTGCTCATTAATATGTCTTCTTCCTGTAACATTTATTCGTTCATTCGCCTTTCAGAGACTCAAATATAGAAACCAAAATTTGATGTGGGGTGTTAATGTGCTTACAGATGTTGCCACCACTTATCCAGATAAGAAGTCCATCTTAATGTATATCACATCACTCTTCCAAGTTTTGCCTCAACAAGTGAGCATTGAAGCCATCCAGGAAGTGGAAATGTTGCCAAGGCCATCAAAAGTTACAAGAGAAGAACATTTTCAATTACATCATCAAATGCATTATTCTCAACAGGTAAAGTATCAAAAGAGTACCTAATATCAATGATATTTTCTGTCGTATATGCATTTTTAGTCATCATACATATACATATATATCTATGATAAATACATGATAAATATGTCTATGTAGCATAACGTGTGTATACACAAATATATGTCTACGTAGCATAATGTGTGTGTATGTGTGTGTGTGTGCGTGTATATATATATCTACCTATAGATAGAGAAACTCTATAAGCCTTCTGAACTTTAACTGATATAATGGACCATAATATTGTTTTCAAAGCACATTATTAAAATACTCTGCTGTTGATATGCACTATGTTATAGAAATATGGAAAACAATATATTGCATTTCCATTGTGTAAAATGAATTAAAATAAAAGATAGACTCATATATGTATAAAACTTTCTGTCAACGAGAGTAAAGAGCAAAGAGCAAGAGCAAAGGCAAGTACTCTGTTTAATAATACTTTCTTATTTTTAGTGACAACCTACTGATGTATTAACAAATTTTGATTATTCAAGATAACGTTTCTGATAAAAGTAGTTTATGATACTTTAAATAAAAGTTAAAGGGAGAATACATAAGATAAAGATTTTTACAATCGTCCAGGATTTAGTGGGATTCTTTTATTACATGGCTTGTTCTTGCTCCCAAGAGTGGCTGTTCGGGGTGTTTTCTTTTACTTTCTTTGACACAAACAATGATGAAAAAGCCTAAAAAAAAAAAAAAAAAAACCTTTTAGCATAATTCCTTCTGAAGGTGTGGACAGCTAATCTTAGGCCTAATTTTCTCACTCTCCTAAAGCACTAGTTCTGTATTTAGCTTATGAAAGCTCCAGTCCTTTCAAGGAACTTGACCTGATGAATTCTGGTTTTGTTTACTTTGGGTTCAGAGAAAATTGCTTTTGGATGCCTGTTTTGGCCAGACTGAAGAGCACCATCCCACATGAGTGCTGGAGCTGTGTCAGTATGGAATCCTTATAGTTAAGTCCCTCCCTCATCCCTTCCCTGAGTACCTGCTCTCCACCATGACACTGAGCACCAGAATTGTGCAAGTGTGCCAGTTTGCAATGGCACTATGTGCATTTCAAATTAAACTTTTCATCTCACTGTTTCCATTTAACGTTTGTTTTTCTAGTGTGTGGGAAAGCAGTCCTTCCAGGGTTACTTATGATGTCTCCTCCTCCCCTCTGTCCCCTTCCCGTAACCCTACTCTGCAGATCACAGTCAGTCTAGCACAGGGCTATGAACGAACTCCTTCCTCTCCCAAGCCTCGGTTCAAGAGCTATGCCTACACACAGGCTGGTTATGTCGCCACCTCTGACCCCACACGGAGCCCACTTCCTTCACAGGTCTGTCAACATTTACTCTCTATTCTACAAACCAAAGAACTTCCTCCTCGAGGATAACCTGACATGGCTTTCGTTTGAATTTTGCAGTGCCTTGTTTCTCCATCAGGAGCCGTTTCATTATTCCCAGTTGTATTAGATGTTCTCACATGATGCTGTTTCGTTATTGTGATTTCCCTAGGTTTAATATGGGTTGATTCTTCATGAATGGGGATTCTTAGAATAGTGGTGTGTGCTTTCATTATATAATTTACCTGTAAGTTTCTCTTTTATAAAGGCTACTAATAGTTATACAAAAACATCATTAAAGGTTTATATATGTAATTTTTTTAAAAGGATGGGAAAATGGATGAAATTCACTGGTCACACTACTTGGCGAGATTTTTCTAGATACCTGATACCTAAAGGAAACATACACTCTATATAGATGTTCTTATTATATTTTCATTCTATAAAAATATATTTATACTCTATTTAAGAAAAATGTAACTACAGGGCCACCTGGGTGGCTCATTCGGTTAAGGGTCTGACTCTTGATGTCAGCTCAGGTAATGATCTCAGAGTTGTGAGACTGAGCCCCACATCTGGCTCTGCGCTGGGCATGGAGCCTGCTTAAGATTCTCTCTCGCCCTCTCCCTCTGCCCCCCCCCAAAAATGAAAGGAAAATATAACTATAAGCTTTTTCATATGATACATTTTAATAATTTGGCTAATTTAAACATGTATATAACATGCTCCATACTATTTGTACAAGAAAGTCTGTCACTCCCACACCAGTCAGATTCTATGCACCATTTCGTACTTTCTGCATAAAGAGTCTTCTCAGTGGAATTTTCCATTATTGCGGTATTGTAGGAAACCTAAAAATACAAGAAATTACAGTCTGGTTTATATTAGAGCGTGGAAATGAAATGTGCTTGACTTGTGAGATTTGCTAGAATTTCTTTTTAGAAGAAAACTATTTTGTTTAGTGGAGCGATTTGAAAAGTTCTTAAGGAAGTAACTTTTGTGAGAACTACATTATGAATGGGAATTTAGAAATTATAGACCTGATCCTATATGGTGAAAAAAGTGTGCATGTTTAGAGGCTCACTGATTTTTTAAAATAGTGGTTGTATTTAATTAGTGATTATTTTGCACAGTTAATTTTAGCATAAGGCTGAAAATTCTTAGCACTCACCGATTCTCCCAGGGAAGCATATTTCAGGGCATAGTTATGCCCTCTATCCTTGGCTAGTTTTCTGGCAAAGCTGAACAAAGGAGACTAGGTGAGAACACTTGTGTGACTCAGCCTCATCTTCAGTTAAATTCCCATCCATGTTTTTACAAAGGTTAGTTGTATAATCTTGAACAAGAAACTTAATCAGTTTTCTCATTATCAGTAAATAGAAATAGTTGGGCCACTCATTACTGAGTGTTGCTCTATGCCATGTGTGCACATTATATGAACTAAGGAAGTCCTTATAACAACTTCGGAGAGGTGGGAGATGCTATTTTTATCCACATTTGAAGTTTCCTCTTTCTGCCCTTCTCTTTCTTTTCTTCCTCCTCCCTTGCACCCTCCTGACTCCCTGACTCTCTGGACTCTTTTCATCACCATCCTCCCGTTGAAACCTCCAAGTCTTAAAGAATAGGGGTGCATCCTAAAATAAAGGAGCATGAGCCAAGACAAGGAGATGAGTTCCTTTTCCCCCTCATTATCACTTTATTGAGCTGCCTTTTCCAGAAGTTTTTCTCTAATGCCTCTTCTGGTGGCACATTTTTACCTCATTACCAACCCCATTAAGGCATTGCTGAGTTATGACTCCTTAATGAAGTAATTATAAGTGGACTTAATTTTGCTAGGCTCTATTTGTTCATTCTACCTTTGTATAAATACTACAAAATATATAATGTGTCATACAATAAAAATATTCAACAAATTCACTTACCTGTTTTATTTAGCATAAGCCATTGAAATAAACCTAATGGTGTCCTTTAGAAAAGAAGAAGCATGAATTACAATTGATAAGGAATGATATATTCTACCTGTTTCTAAAGGAAGCACATCAGAAGATGATGTTACATGTAGTTAGTTTGATAAGTTTATGTCTTAACGATATACTAAGAAAAATTTTTTCTGAAGCGTTTCTGAGGGGCTGAGCCTATACTGCCCCCTACAGGTTGTATCTGATCCACTTCAAATGAACTCAAGACAGGCCAGACGGGACTCCATTAGAGAGTTTCATTCAAGTGGTTTACTTGGTGATCTGCAAAGGGGGTGAAGTTTTCCATAATAGGAAAGCAAACTACGTGGGTGACTGTCCGCTATGGAAAGCAGAAATTCTGTGAATTACCTTAAAAGTTCCCAATATATTGGGGCGCCTGGGTGGCTCAGTTGGTTAAGCAACCGCCTTCGGTTTCGGTCATGATCCCGGTGTCCTGGGTGATTGCCTTCAGCTCAGGTCATGATCCCAGGGTCCTGGGATCGAGTCCCACATCGGGCTTCCCTTGCTCTGTGGGGAGACTGCTTCTCCCTCTCCCTCTGCCTGCCACTCTCCCTGTTTGTGCTTTCTCTCTCTCTGTCAAATAAATAAATAAATAAAATATTTTTTTTAAAGTTCCCAATATATTAGAATCATCAGTTATCCCCATCTGTCCTAAACTTGAAAAATCCGATTTATACTCTTTGCAGTTTGAAAATCTATTGGGGTGAAGCAGTCGACCTACCTCAGGATCCCTGCTTATAAATGAGTTTTTCTCATAATATGCCAAGAAGAAATACTGTCTGGTGTGAACCTCTAGCTTTCCCTCATTGTATATCACTTTATTGCCATCCATCCTTGGATGGAGGACATTTTTTTTTATGATTTTACTTAATTCCTATTTCTATGACTTTGATCATGCCTCTCATTCTACTCCTAATTTTATATCAAAAATACCCAGTATCTTTTTCACTTTCAGTTTCTTTTTCTTTCCTAGAGCCTAACCCTGCTTAAAACTCCTCTAGTGTATGTCATCTCTTCTGAAACACATCAATCCACTTTATCTTGTTAATATACTGTTATGTGACTCTTTCTTTCATTTATCACCTTCTGTAGAATAGTCTATGCTTTATTTATTCATTTATTTAGTCCACAAATAATTATACTTCATCACCAAATCAAGTGTCATCTTTTCAGCTTTCAGGCTTTCCGTCGTAACTGAAATAACTTTTCTCCTAGCTTCTAGACCCATCAGCTTCTTCTCCATCTCTGTTCTATATCTCTTTCACTATCTGGCTTTCTTCTCTTCTAACTGCCTTTGCATAAGAGCTTCATGAAAGATCCCTTGAGCCATGTATTATAGTCTCCCTGTTATCAATATGATTTAGCTTCCTGGCTTCAAGCTGTATTCGGGTGACCGTTGTGATCTGTGTTTTTACCCACTTTCAATATCTTTTAAGTTACAGCCACATTTCCAACTCATTTTCAACTCTTTGGCATGCGTCTATACCTAGATGTCCACTGATTTCTTAAACCTGGTATTGTCCTGAGGGGAACTTTTTTTCATTGCTCACAAAGCCATTTCTTGTCCCTTTTTGTTATGTAAGTGAGAATATTACTCAGCGGTCATTGATACTTAAATATGTGACATTGTACTCTTTGGTCTCTTTATTGATCTGGTATTCATTAATGAGACATGCAAAGTCAGTCCCTTATTTACAAAATTACTCCATTAAGCTATGTCCCTGATGTTATGTCCTCTGATTTAGGCCCTCAATATATGTCTTCTGGATTACAGATATACCTTTGCAATCAATATCACTATCTTTATCTTAGTCCCCTCTAAATCAGATTAAATTTCCATATTAACAACTTTAACAATATCATTCACAAAACTTTCTTCACTTCCTTTTGCCTTTATAACAGGTCCACTCTCTTAAATTTCATCAAGAAGCTCCATGATCTATTATCTACTTATATTTTCATGTTTATTTCACAGTAGTCTATTTCATGTTTTCTTTACTCCAACCAAATTAAATCACTTGCTGTCTTCCATAAGTGCCAAACAGTTTCCTATCTTAGCTTTTTTTGGTTCTCTCAGCCTAGAGTGACTTTTGTCTCATTTCACATTGGGTAGTTTAATCAAAATTTCAAAGCCTAACCAATAAGTGGCAGAGCCTGGATTCATGTTCAGATTTATCTAACCCCAAGTTAATGTTCTTTATACTAACACTGAATTCTCTCTCTCTCTCTCTCTCTCTACACACACACACACACACACACACACACACACACACACACATACACACGGGATTACTCACCCATGAAGTAGTATTCATTTATGTAATCATTTATTTATTTATTTGAGAGAGAAAGAGAGAGAGCAGGAACAGAGGGGAGGAGCAGAGGGAGAGGGAGAAGCAGACTCCCCGCTGAGCAGGGAGCCCAATGTGGGGTTCGATCCCAGGACCTCAAGATCATGACCTGAGGCAAAGGCAGACGCTTAACTGACTGAGCCACCCAGGTGCCCCTGTAATCATTTACTATTTAATTTTTAATCACCTACTATGTGCCAGGTATTATTATATGATATTGCAATCAATATCATATAATAATTGGTTCCACCAATTGGTGCATCAATAAACAAACTTACAAAATAATTTGTGCCCTAATGGAGAGCATAGGCTTATGGGAGAGTCAAAATATGACTAAGATAAACATTATGAATAAGTTAAAGAATATTTCAGATAATATGCTAGTAATATGTATAAAGTAAAGCAAAATTCAGTAGTAGTTACGATAGTTAGTGGTAAAAAGAAAAAAATAAAAGAGGAAAGTAGAATATGCAGTATGTGACATTTGGGGTAGTCAGAAAAAGTAAATTTTGAGTAAAGACTGAAAAGAGGTGTGGGTCTCTGGGAGAAGACCAACCTCTGAGGAGGAAGCACAGATGGTACAAAAACCCTGAGCTGTAGGGATACTTGGACTACTCAAGGAAAGGTAGGAGGGAGGGCACAGTGCTGGGAGATGGTGCCTGAG